TCTGATTTGAATTCGACGACGGCTCCAACGAATTATTGTTATTCACACTCATTCCTTCCGCAGCTCTGATCAACAAAACAGTAAGAGGGTTAATTTGTAGGCCCTTCTTTGCTCATATATATATAGATATAGATATACAAATGAAACCTCAAACTTTGCCCTTGAGTTAAACTACATTAATTTTTTACACGAGGTCATCGTGAAAAACAATTAAAAAGTCACCTCAACGCTTCGCACTCGTGTAACAATTAAGAGAGTGTTTGACCTTGTTATTGCGAGGACGAATTACTTAATGACGTATCATTGCAACATCAATGCATGTAAGTGGTCACGCTGAAAAGTTGAGAATGGAAGTTAAGTGCAAGGAGATGGATTTGGGAGGTGACTGTGAAATCAATTAAGAGGGTATTCTGGTCTAGGAAAAAAATTTTCGAAATTTCTTTTTTTGCACATTTTCATAGTTTAACTATTCAAGAATATGTCTACGATAGGATCTTGCAAAATTCAAATTAGTTTCGCAGATATAAGTATATTGCTGAGCAGGCACCCAAATCGGTTGAGCTGCAACTAATCGAACAAAAGACGTAATGGATTCTCCGACTACCTGAATCTATATTTCTTACTAAGCCCTTTTGTTCCCTTATATCTATCTTTCTATATACATAAACACACACACACACACACACATATATATATATATATATATATATATATATATATACATGTATGTATTTCACGGCAATTGATTTACGGAGCAGGAAAACACCAGTTTTACGAGTCCATCAGCAGCAAAATTGAGAAAATCACATGATGAAGAAGTAATTATCGATAATAATTACGGCTTCTGTGATTTTGGGTTTTCCTCGGTCTTTTCAGCAATTTCTTTGTTTATTTCGTGTACCACATACAACAACGAGATTATATTTCAAGAACGACTCAACGCGGACTCGGGTTCAAAATTGCATTACAATGCAGTTGCAATAGTCTACGCTACATTCCATCATGTCCATTCGTTGACAAATCCTTCGAAGTTTATCATGAGAAGAGTTATTGATTCGATGTTCGGGTTGAGAAACTCATAATAATAATGAGTCTCTAAACTCGATGATATGGACTTTTGCTCCAAAGCATATCCATTCCGGGTCTCAGATCATTGAAATTGCTACATTTATTGCTGTGTGTGCATTTTTAATGGAGGATTTATACCAATATTGAAGATAATGACGATTATGGGAGTGAAAATTGGTCCAGAAGCACATGCATTTGCCATTAGAAGAGGTATCACTCGGATTGACCCCTCCGAGATACGAGCATTCAACGCATCAAACGAGTCCAGAACTGCTCGAATAGAAAACAGAGACGCCGAAAATAGTTTTTTCGAAGTCGAGGAAGGTTCGATGAAGGCAGCAGGAACGGCAGATTGAATAAATGTAAGTTAAAAATATAATTTTATGACTTAGACTGCAAAAAGTTTTACTTGAAACTTTAAACGCCTTTTTCTCAAAACTGTTTTTTTGAATCTGATACCCACGATTTCTCAGATTCTGCCCAACCGATTTACTTGAAACTTTGAGATAGTCTTCTTTAGAAACCGGGCTATGTCCGAAGCTACGGTTATCCTCAAATTTAAATTTTTACAATTTTTAAGAAATCGAAGAATGTTCAAAAAAGGGGTACAAAAATGGGTTTTTTCTTAAGACAGTCGCCAATTTGTAAAAAATGTATCTAAAACTTTTTCGTAGTTCCGGACATTATTGTAGATTGATAATCCTTTTTATTTTTTGATTTCAGATTGCTTGGGGAGATGAAATCGTGGGTATGGTCATGGTCCATATTTTTGGGACGCCCCACTCCACTAGCTGATAACTAACGGAATTTTATATTTTATTTATTTTTTAATTTTTTCGTATGCTTCTAAGGTGAATAAATAATGCATGAAAACATTGATAATAAAAATATTGCTTGCTTTTTTACACTTCAAAAATGGCCTAAATTTCATGTCTCTAGACCAGAATACCCCCTTAAGTTGACCCTCTTCATGCAAACAACCTACACCTCGCCAGATCCTCCTTGAATGGAGTAATTGTTTGTCTGACTAAAAATTGTAACATTGAGTAGAAGGCTTTGACACACTCAACTGCGTTCATTCTCATTCTTCCAATTCGGCTGAATTGGACTCACTGCACTTCTTTCTCACTTCCTTTCGTAACCATTTGTCATAGAATTGCTATCTTTGTCGTTGCGATTCTTGAATATTTTTTATTGCTTTCAAATTCATGTAATCGAAAACATTCAAAGATGGTCTACTTGCCAGTAGACTGCCATTTTCCAAACGATGATTGTAAAACTTTGTTTGTGATGAATTTCTAAGATTAACGTTGCCGTCTGCTTGCTCAGTAGGTCTACATTCTCCTGAGATTGGGCGAAACAGAGTCAAAAATCCTTCGAGATGGTTGTGTTACGATAACTCTCTACCATGAAGAGATTTCGATTTTGGTAAAAACGGATGGATATCTGGGTAATCAAAATATTCAGCCAATGTTTCCCCAGTAAGCTGTCATCAACCGTGATACAGTACTCAAGCTGTTTAGAAATGTGAATGCCATTAAGTTAATTAGATTATCGCAATATTTGTGTCATATTGATAGAATTATTTCAAGTTGTCAGGTGTTCTGATATTGTCCTACTCTACTGTCATCGGCATTGACATTGTCTAACGTAGATTAATCATTCAGATGATGTGTTTCAATAAAGCACTGCCTTAATCAATGCCACTTCCGATCCTAGAGTAGGCCCGAACTTCATCGTTTGATTTTGGGTTTTCGGGGTACTTACCTCCTTGCGCCATCGGTTGACAAGCCAAAATAAAAAAGAGTGGGTCTTCGATTGACTCTGTTGACCTTTATTTGAAGGCACCTACAGACGTGTGATTATCTCATCATTTGGCATTACCATCACAACTTTGCCCAATACTGTACAGGCCTTCAATGCAGCCGTTCAGCATGCACAGACAATGTGGTGGGAAGATAAAGATCGTCTGTCATTTAGTCGACAAGAATTGAAATGTCAATTCAACTCAATTTTCTTGTTTCCTTTAGGCACAGCTCTTATTAATGTCTCAATGAGGTAAAAACACCACTGAAAGTTACAATTTGCCCTTATTGGGAGAGTTTTTAACACCTTGGTAGCAGAGGTTTTCCATTTCACAGCTTTAGGAGCTGCAAGTGGAATACAGTTTTGAGATTAGGCATTTTATTGACATTTCCAATTTATTATTCATATGGGATCAAAAGTGTTGTCATCGGACGGAGGTACCAACGTACAAAATATTTAGCCACTTTGAGAATACAAATACGTCAAAGTGGAAAGGAAGCAATTGTGTTAGAATGTGCTTGAATCTTTACAAACTACAGATTCTCGATTTGAAACACGAAACCTCAGAATATTGCTCAGTGCCAACGGCGACTTGAAAGCTTGTAAGACCTGAATTCTCAAGTCAATTTTAGACTGTAATTGGAGAGCCTACTGGATGGAAATTGGCAAAACAAACACACATTGCAAGAGCTCTAACAAAGGACTCGAAAATGCGTTTCACTGAAGCAAAGCTGGGTATGAAGTTGAGTTCTAAAACAAAGCCACCTCCTTGATTTGTACAAATAGCCTTTCTAAAATGAATGGGACGAAGGTGGATGCGAGCAGTCAGGAAACTTACAGGTGAAGCGATTGGAAATGAATTGTTCTTGGTCTGGACTAGACAGTTCTAGATCATTTAAATGTATCTCGCCTTACAGTAATATTTTTCTAAGTCACGAAAACATGATTAGTCCATCGTAGTCACCTGTGGAGTCCGTTTTAATTTTTTTTCTCATCTTAGACTTTTGGGAACATTTGTAAACTAAATTTCTATCGGCAACTAATCCATTATCCCCATTACTGACGACCGGAGACTAGAGTTACACTTCACCTAAATAGTCTAGAATACAAAGATCTTGCTTCCTTTTCTTCGATAGATTATCCATATTACCCCACGTCAGTCTCAAGCTCAAAATAGTAACTAAAATGAGTTTTCGTAAGAGTCTTGCAGTTTCTCACCACCTTCACATCTCAAAATCTAAGTAAAAAGCCAACCGTCCAAAATAGATTTCCAATCTACATATGTAACATTTACTGAAGTAGTACTTTTGGATTTTAGACATTTAGATCTGTAGGTAATTGCATTTGCAGGATATAGGGTAAAGGCAAGCAATCCAATTTACAGGTTTGAATCGGCACCTACATGTTCAATTCCAAATCCTAGTGTTTTTTAGCGAAGGTGATTGTTTTAGTTTACTTACCTTTGAGCAGAAGATACTTGAGTGGGACATTCACCAGTCGATGAAATAGTCTCTTCACCAGCACTCCTGACATTTAGTTGGTGACTTGGAGAATTGGGACTAGAGGCAGGAGGGAGGTGGTCGGATGAGACATTGCCTGGATGCCCTGGAGTAGAGACGGCGGGGTTCGATGATGCCTCTTTGTGCATATCATCGAGAGAAGGAAGTGTAGATCCTGAGGATTTAGCATTTACACATTGGGAAGGATGATTGGTTGAATTTTCTTCAACACCGAGAAGATCTGTATGATTGGAAGTTTCTCCCACCTGCATAGGTGCGCCTCGTGCGAAATCGACACTTAGGAGATTATTGACAAAATAGTAGAGTGGCCCTGGATGTGGTGTTGGCGGAATTGGATGAGTTTGTGTTGGTGGCGGAGCATCAACATTCGCTTGACCACTCGGGATATTGGTAAATAGATATGATAAAACTGACGCAACTGATGTAGCTGGTGGAGCTGGTGGAGCTGGTGGAGCTGGTGGAGCTGGCGACCTATCACCATTGATACCGCCTTCACCCACCTGAAATGCCCGAAAGGAACCGTTAATATCCTAAGCCTCCAGTTTGATCGAGTCGATATGATGATGATGAGAATCCTACCTGATCTAACCCTTATTGTGTCAAACACACGCTACAATTCTAATGCGGAAATACACTGAAATAAAAATCGGTAAGTATTGCTAATTGGCCTAAATGGTAGAGAAGCTAACAGGCGAGAGAGCACTTTAAGTCTACCTATTTCATAGCATGGGGGGGGGGGTGTGCGATAGCCTTACCTTCACGTGGGGCACCGAACGCAACGTATACTCATACAGCAACAAGGATTATGAACCGGCAGTTGACTTCTGACTTCGAAATTCCATGACCCCGCTGTATGTCATATTCAACCACGTCCACAGTACTCATCTTACCTTTTCGCTACCTCTATCTCAGTCTGCCTCTTTTATACCTGTGAATCACTCTTCTGTTTCTTCCTCTAGAATTTTTCTCACTTTGATGTTCATCCACTATGTGAAGCCCGAAGCCAGCTAAAAGGCTAATGATAATTATCAAAACGCCTGCCATCTGAAATAAATCAATAAATCTCATATCACTGCAACATTACTCGTAACTAACACGAATGGCAGTAATTGCCATTCATATCTCAAATAAAGCGCTAAAACTGTCATTATCTTAGTGTGAAAATAGTGAATAAACATGTGGCTTCTACCCTAGCAACACTTCACTTGAACATTTGGAGTCCAATTAAGACGCTATTGGAGGTGTTCTTACCGTATTAGTTGCAGTATTTTGGAGGAGGTGAGACAGGAATTGCCTGGCAACACTGTCGGTTTCGACGGATTCGAAGGGTTGAAGTATTGTAGGGTTTTGATTTTCTTGAACATAATTGAACTGTTGCCGAATTGCAGGTAAGAGATGAGTAAGACCAGTGAGAGGAGGTGGCCAAGTGAATCCATTCACGGACGTCTGATTTGAATTCGACGACGGCTCCAACGAATTATTGTTATTCACACTCATTCCTTCCGCAGCTCTGATCAACAAAACAGTAAGAGGGTTAATTTGTAGGCCCTTCTTTGCTCATATATATATAGATATAGATATACAAATGAAACCTCAAACTTTGCCCTTGAGTTAAACTACATTAATTTTTTACACGAGGTCATCGTGAAAAACAATTAAAAAGTCACCTCAACGCTTCGCACTCGTGTAACAATTAAGAGAGTGTTTGACCTTGTTATTGCGAGGACGAATTACTTAATGACGTATCATTGCAACATCAATGCATGTAAGTGGTCACGCTGAAAAGTTGAGAATGGAAGTTAAGTGCAAGGAGATGGATTTGGGAGGTGACTGTGAAATCAATTAAGAGGGTATTCTGGTCTAGGAAAAAAATTTTCGAAATTTCTTTTTTTGCACATTTTCATAGTTTAACTATTCAAGAATATGTCTACGATAGGATCTTGCAAAATTCAAATTAGTTTCGCAGATATAAGTATATTGCTGAGCAGGCACCCAAATCGGTTGAGCTGCAACTAATCGAACAAAAGACGTAATGGATTCTCCGACTACCTGAATCTATATTTCTTACTAAGCCCTTTTGTTCCCTTATATCTATCTTTCTATATACATAAACACACACACACACACACACA